TTAAGAAAAGAATAAGAAAATTCCACCAAATTTGTTTTAGTAATGACAATATGGTTTACATTATCAAATAGAATAAGTGGCCCATGAGTTCAACCATTGAGAGAGAAATCAAGAAACCAGAAGCCATATCATTCTTGATGCCGGCGGCTTTTATCCACCTCTTCAATGTCTCATCATATAAAGAAAACCAGTAATAGAAAGCATAGAACCAGTTGCTTTCTGGGTTGTTTTGGATTTTCAGTTAAGGATGATGAGGAGAAAAAGATATCTGGCGGAGTCGGTGGCGGCGGTGGTGGAAAGGACAAATACGGTGGCCAAAGAATTTCCCGGTATTGGTTCAGAAGAATGAAAAAATCGTCTGCTAAAACTGTTCCGGTTAACGTCGTCTCCAAATTTGCCCCAAAGTTGACGTCAAGCAAGGAAATTCATGTTCTTAACGAAGATATGAATTTGTATGCTACAAGTGATCAGCTTCCGGCTGCCGCCAGCGGCGGCGGTAGTAATCTCAACATGGTTATGGCAGCAGAATCTGATCAAGTTGGCCTCCACAAATCTAGTGAGGTACATATTATGTGATCGTTCTTAATTAAGAACCAAGAAAGTATCAATTCCTATGAAACAAGACAAGTCGAGTTTATCTTTCTAAATGTTTGATCACGTTTAATAGCGTATTTTCTGAACTTATTTGACTGTCCCAAATGCATATCATCCAAGCTTCTATTTGATTTTGCTAAAAATCAGATCTTCATTAAATTTTGATAAAAATTGATGAAATTTAATTAGTTGTTATTGTTACGTCAGGCCACGGCAAACAATAATGAAGAGCACATCATCCTTGAAAAAATGAAAAGTTTGGGTGCAGAAAATGGAACACTTAGGTACCATGTTAGCCGGTCAAAAGCAAGTAAGCAACTTTCGACATCAGTGGCTCGACAGGGAATTTGCGACCGTGGATCAAATGAAAATAATGCAAAATTTGGGTCACTCGTTGGGATATCAATTCTAGTGGTAATACTTGGAATTATGTTAATTTGGGGCAAATCATGTGCCATTCTTTGCACGGCCATATGCTTCTATATCATCACTAGTTTTCGAACACAACGAAGAAATGAATCGGACGTGAAAAAGGATTCATCAAAGGAGTTTGATGAATCAAATTTCAAAGAGTATAAGAAGAAAGTAGTGTTACAGGGATTTCTCGAGCGATCAAATAAACGTAAGTAAACTTATCAACTTTTTGGTATTTTTGTAAGTGTGAATTTGGTTTGTCGTTCGTATATGGTCAATTTTTATTTTTTTTCCTTGTTGGTGACGTTCTCAATCTATTTCCTAGAAAAAAATGTTACTTTAGGGTCTCTTTGATTTATATTTTTTCAGAACAAATTTCTTGAAAAGTGATTTTTTGAAGAATATATGGGTAAAAAGTACGAAAAAAAATATGGTTTATTTACAAAATCATTTTATTGAGAATATATAATTGAAAATGATTTTGAAGGAAAATAAATTTTTAAAAATTTGTATAAAAAATAATTCACGTGATGATGAGATCAAGTCACGTGCAAATGTGGGTCCATAGTGGGGCTTGTCTGGTCGTGGCTTCCTACCCCATCAAATTAAAGATATGAACAACAATTTGGTTTGTTCATATTGTTTGTTGACTAATTTTTTTAGGATTTTGTTTTATAATTTTTTTTTTAATTGGATAAGATCCTGTCTAATTTTTTAAATACATGCACTGCACAATCAAAATGGAGTTGGTACTTTCGACTTGGCCTTCTTGCAGGGAAATTTCGTTTTAAAATAATTATTTTTGTCTTTTCGTTTCCCTTTTATGTAAAAAATGCATTGTCGTTTAATATCAAGAAAATTTCATAATTATCTTGTTTAATTTCATACTTGCGATTTGTAAGAGATAAATATGAAAAATAGAAAGTTGAATTTCATTATTTTGAAAAGAAAAAATATACGATTGTTTTGAAAATAAAGAATAAGAGTCGCCAGAAGTATTAGATACGAAATAAATGAAGTATTTGATTGACAAAAATAGGTTCGCACTCTACTTCATTAACCATGAATGATCAAGATTGATGACAAACACATCGCATCGTAAAAATTTATTGGCTAAAAAATGTGTATGCTGCAAGCGCACATGTCATGTACAAGTAATAAAGTTGACCAACGAGTCCGAGTTGATGTTCCCACGAAGAATGATTAATTAATTACACAACAATTGATTTAATTCTAACGATGAAACACGCAACAATATTTGATTTTGAAAATAATAAAAATAACTTAAAATCCAACAAAAATAACAAAATAATCAAATCTAAAAATTGAGGAATGTTTGGATGATAAAATGATTGTTTAACAAATTACCCATGAAATATGTAAGACTCAATTTCACTATTTTAAGTAATCCGGGTGAAATTAGTCTTAATCGTAGATTTAACTTGCTATATCTCTATATCAATTAAGATCCAATAGATTGCACTAAACTTTTGTGAAAATAACTAAATGGGTCAACTAGGAATAAGAGTATGTCTCTATCTCGTAGAGAACTTAGGGTATTTACTATTTGATTTAAGATGCACCATGTTCTCTAAAAAAATGTACAAATAACTCAACAGAATCATTTAATGGACAAATAAATAAATAAAATTTAAATAAAATAGTAAATACAAATGAAAATAAGTGTTTTAACATTAAAAAGCAAGTATTGAAATTAATCTAACTACGTAAAGCTACATCAATTATCCCAACCTCAATCAGCTTAACTCATTGTAAAGAAATGACAAAAATGAGAAGAGTTGGAAAAATGCACTACGAGTTAGAAAAAATAATGGATAAAATATAAGGAAAAATGTGAACCCGTCCCTTGGTTGGAGTATGGGGACGTAGAATAGCTTGGTCTTTATTTTTCTCTACAATTTCTCACTTTTCTTGATTTTTCTCCTCCTCTCTTTGCCTCATTTTTTGCCCTCGATTGTATTGAATGCTATGGAATTGAATGAGGCCCCTCTTCTCAGATTTTAGGTCTTTAAAACCCTCAAACTCGTGCCCATGAGAGTTCCCAAAAGTCCATAAGAAAACTCGCAAATAACAGAAGCATGCGCATGGTAAGAATGCGTCTAAGCCACGCCCATGTGCGCGCGCTATAGCCCAGCTTGGCCCATGTGTTCCCCCATTATTTGCGTGTCAGCTTTTTGAACTTTAATTTCGTACAATCTGGTCCCCACATTTTGACTTGTCTTTCAATCACACCCTTAAAAAATTTCACTCAATGTCCTTCAACTTTCAATTATTTAACTTGTTTTAATAGAGATTTGCTCATTCATCAATATTTGACTTGTTTTAGGCTTCTAATAAATGTGTAAAAAATAGTGCTATAAATAGTGGCTCCACGATTGATGTAAAACGAACTAATGTGACGAGTAATTGTGTAACATGGTATGTTACATGTGGTGGTAGCGACAACAGTAATAAATGTAGTGGTGGAGGTATAAAATCAAATATCGACAGTGATGGTGTAACAATATACGTTACAAGTGGTAGTGGTGGTAGTGCCGACAATCACAATGACGATGAAAATAGGTGTAATATGTAACATAATGTGTTATAAGTGATGGTGGTGGCAACGGCGATGATGGAAACAAGGTGGCCAAATATGTGTAACAAAAATTTTACAAAATGTAACGTACAAAGTTTATTGTGAAAATTAAAATTAAAATAATAATTTGAGACTAAAAAAGTTTAAAAATAAGCATAGAATTAACAAACTTTGCTAATGTATTTTTAAATTGTTGCCTTATTTTATTTAATTTCCACATGACTAATGACTCAAATTTCTTCTTTTAGGTCTTTCTTCTTGGGACTTTCTCAATATTTGAATGAATAATGCTATTGATATTTAATTTCAGCAACATCACTGGTAACAAAACTTTGAAAATATACATTTTGATTTGGGAAAAGAGCATTTTGAATATAAACAATTCAAGTAGATTACCATTACACTTCCCATCATAATTACAAATCTGTGCAATTAATGAGTAATATTGGATGGCTCAAAAGTGAGACCTTGAGTAATGACTAATGAGTATGCACACAGAGGTTTTGGAATTGGAGGGCTCAAACCATGAAGAGAATTGAAGAGGATGAGAAGTGATTATGAGAGGATGGAAGATTGAAGACTATTTACAATCTGCATTAAGAGGGGAAAAAAAGGTAAACACCGAGTCGTCCACGAGTAGGAAAACACTCGAGGTCCTCCAAGACTTGTCACGGAGCACGATCTAATTCGATAGAATTAATTAAGGGTCCTTTGGCATGATTTTTGAGAAGTCAAAAAAGTGTATTTTAGACAAAGGTAACTTTTAAATGTATTTGATTAATTTTCTCCAAAAATTGCTTTTGAGATTCAAAAGCTGTTTTTGAACTCGTTTGACTGATTTTATAATAATACTTCTTATAATTAAAAGAACTTTTAGAGAAAATTGACCCAATGCGAAATCCTCTAAAAGTTCCCAAGGGCAAGAAAACCCTTTTAAAAATTAGTTTCTAAGCACTAATTAAGGTAACTATTTTCAAGAAATTTTCATACAAAAAGTAGAAATCCTGTCAAACGGACCATAATTCTGATCACAACTTTTATTGGCCACCCATGCTTTTATTTCCCTTGCACATATAATTTCACGCGATAAACTATCACTTAATGAGGACGTTTTATTGAAAAAAAGTTATATATAATAATGAACAAAATTAATTTTTTTTTCTTTAATCTCGTTCGAAATAAATTAATATTTGACAATTTACAACACAATTATGAATCAACCATGCAATCAAGATATTTTTTATTTCAACATAACCTCCAAATTCACCTAACCAATACATATATGATATATGCTAAATATCTTCAACCATACAAACAAATAACATACATAAAATCGAATAGAACCAATGAAACACCAAACTTCATTAATTTTTCATAGAACTAAGAACATTCTGAATCTCTGATTTGTCACGCCTTAAAAGCTTGACCTTGAGACCATACTTCATGTACATTGTTAATGCCATCTTTGGCAGCACCGGGTGGTTTTCCACAACCACCACCCGGTAGCGGTATAGGATGGCCGCAGCGGCAAATTTCATCTGGTAATAAGCAAAATCCTTTCCTAAGCACAGCCGTGGGCCGCCATTAAAAGCTGTAAATTTGTAGGCAGATTCACTCGTGAATCGGCCGTTGTTTAGCCATCTCTCTGGCTTGAATTCTCTGCAATCTTTGCCCCATATCTCTTCCATTCGCCCCATAGCATAGATCGCATACACAACTTTTGTTCCCTTCTTCACTACTGTTCCATCAGGGAATTTGTCATCTTCGAGTACCTACACGACATAAAGTATTATTCAATCTTTTTTCCTGTGAAAATAGCTAGATTGAGCAAAAAGAAAAAAAACTTGTTGTACAGTAAATATCTTACCTCTTTATGGTCAACTGGCACTGAAGGGTACAACCTCAGAGCCTCCGAAAGAGCTGCCTGAAGATACTCCATCTTCTTCACCTCCTCTGGTTTCAACACAAAATCGTTTCCCTTTTCTTTGTTATCTTCTCTTCCATTTATTATCCCACAAATTTCAGCAAGAATTTTTTGCTCTACTTCTGGATTTTGATTCAGAAGCCAGAAAAACCAGCTTAATGCAACTGAAGAAGTGTCTCTCCCAGCAAGAATGAAGTTCACACAAATATCACGCAAAAACTTGTCTGAAAATGGCTGTTCTTCTTCATCTTTCAAACCCATAAACACTGTTAAAAGATCTGTTCTTTGTTTATTAACATCTGATGATTCCAGGGAAAGTTCTTTCTTTCTAGTACGAATTACTTCTTGAGCAAAATCGTCTACTCCCTCTATTGATTTAATGAGTTTTCCTTCAGTTCCCAGGTTGAAAAATCTCATGGTTTTCCATATGAGAGTTGGAGTGACGAAACGCAATGTCGTTGCTTCTGTCGCGTCCTCGAACGCCCTGGCGAAGGGGATTTCCGGCAGGCCAGGGCGGAGACACCCTGGATCGACGCCAAATGCGATCATGCAAACATTATCAAATGTTAATCTCAATAGAATATCTTGTAAATCTACGGGAACAGATTGGTTCACTGCATCTTCCAAAACAAGCAGGAGCCTGGCATGGACGAGTTCCAGCAATGATTCTGTTGTCATTTGCCTGAACTTTGCAGAATGAAATTCAAGACTTGCTGTTTTTCTCTGCCTTTGCCAAATCTTATCATCAGCATTGAATATACCATCGCCGAGAAGATCCCGAACCGTGTTGCGAAAATATTCTCCTTTGGGAAAATTTGAGAAATTTGTCTTCAGAAGGTACTCTAGATTTCGAGGATCCGATGTTATAACACAATTGAGATTTGTAAACCAGGGTCCTCTGAAAGTAAACGTCCCATTTTGTCGACATATAACTTCGGAAATCCACTCGTACACATCGCCCCGAACACCAAGAATTAGCGATGGCAACATACCGACGAATGGCCAATTCAGAAGTCCTTGATGCTTTCTCTGCCTTAAACTACGTATAATCAAGAAAACAAGAATCGCTAGAAAAATCTCGACCATTTGAATCTCCAACAAGTGCAAGAAACCTCGGACGAGAAAATTCCCGGAGACGAGGTCCCTAAACGACGAGGAAGACAAAGGCGAAGAAGTGAAATTGGTAGTTGTGCTTAGAGCAGTCATGATGTTGGGATGAAGAGGAATAGAGTGATAGTTGTTCATGGAATGGTTATTTGAATGGATAGTCATGTGATATAAGGGGTGGAAGAATTGGCTAAGTGTGTTTCTTGGCGTGCATGAATTTGTGCAGTGGTTTTGATTTGGTGATCTGAATATAGAGATAGGACACTTTTTTCATGAATAGTCTGGCTTTTTCTTAACAAAATGGATTTTGGCCATTTCACTTTTACTTTTAATCCAAAATCTTTTGAGGGTAATGCTTATTTATTTGGTTTGACAACAGGAGGGGGATTTGCTTGCGAGTAGGTGGCGGCGGTTAACCTAAAAGCATCCATTTCTACAGCATTTAGACACGCTTTCTTGGGACATATTTGGTCAGCGACAAAGAATTTGTGTCTGAATTCTGGGATTATTATTATTATTTTTTAATAAGGTGACATGTCGGTAGGCTGTAGGTGGTCTTTTGTGCCACGTGGCAAACTTATTTAGCCATGTTCGAGTCACATTTTTTTTTCATTCTCATTTTTCTACTCATTTTTAACCACAGATTCTTCAATAAAATAATATTTTCCATCACATCAATAATTTTTCCTTTTTTTTTCTACCACATATTTCCACATCACATAAAAAAATGCATCATTGGGTTGATAATGTGCACCAAACAGGGGCTTACAAGTTTTTTTTTTTTAATTTAGGGTTTCTTTAGTTTTTAAAAGAAACAATGTTGCTTGTAGAGTAAGAAGAAATTATTTCATGGAAGAATGATGGAAGTTTGAAAATAATTATTTGCTAGTGGTATTTACCGAAAGGATTTAAAATAAAACCTTCTAGAGGTCCACATTGGTCTATATATGTTTGAGCTATATTATTTTGAAAGAATGTATTTTGGAATAGCAGATTAATGGAGAATGTGTGGTTGAAAAAAAAAAGTTATTGATGTAATGAAAAATATTATTTTATTGAAGAATCTATGGTTGAAAATGAGTAGAATAATGAGAATGAAAGTTTTAATGTGAATCAAACATAAGTAGGTGGGAATTCTATTAGCCTTCCCCAATTCTAACGCTCACTTCATCGACAATAGGTGATTTTTTTTTAGATATGTGGTTGACACTTTAATCAGATTTATTCAAAGGCATGTTTTGAAAGTTGTTTATAATCGGTTTAAATTATAAATAGATAAAAATGAGTAATAATTGTGAATTTTAAGAAATATGTGAATAGAAAAATGATTTGATCAATTATAAATCGTAGTTAAACGAGGACATAGATTGAAGATGATAATACTAATGGAAACTTGATGTTTGATATAAGTAAAAAATAAAAAAATATAGGTTTAAGGTGGTTATATTTGCCTCACATTTTTTTTTTTTTAAATATACCACATTTTAATTACATTAAATGTCTTAACTTTTATTTATTATCAAACTTATACCTTAACTTTTTTCTTTATTATATTCTTATTTTAACATTTCATCGATCAGAAAATCTTGTTTTTAATCGTGGTTTTCGTAAAAAAATATATTAACGCGTTTCAAATGAAGGTCAAATATTTTATTGTATTTTTGCATTATTATTTGTTTTGCTTATTTAAAAATATAATGAACAAATTAGTCTTTTTACTCTATATTTTGGAGACAAACCATAATCAGGAAAAAAATTATCTTAATTAGAGAATAATAATGCGATAAAAAAATGTTTGAGAAATAAATGTAATAATATGTAAAGGTTTTATGCAATTAAAATGTATAGTTATTAAAAACTATGTTGTGAATGGGTAATTAGCACAAAAAATCCTTATCGTTTGCACTTATTGTGCAAATCATCTATATCGTTTCAAATTTGTCATTTATACCCTTATTTTTAATATTTTCTTGTAGAGCTTGTCCTTTTCGTCCCTTCCATTAATTATTTCCTTCAAATATGGGTAATTAGCACAAATCATCCTTTCGTTAGCCTCCATTGCGCAAATCGTCCCTATCGTTTTAATTCTAATATTTGAGTGCTCAGATCGACATTTCTTTGCAAAAGATCCTAACCTTCTATTTTCTCCATTAAAATATTGTACAATGACTAATTCACCTTTCTCTTTAAATAAAACAAATAGAAAAGAAAGAAAGAATTAATAAAAATTTGCATTTAGAGTTTCAAGTTTTACGTCAATTACTCATATTTGACGGAGAGAATTAATGAAATAGACGGAAATGGCCAATGTTGCAAGAAAATGTTGAAAAAGATAGAAACGATTTGCGCAATGAATGCAAATAATGAAAATATTTTGTGCTAATTACTCGTTGTGAATTAAGCGAAAAAGTTGGGTTAGATGTTGATTTCAAAAATTGCTAGTGATCATTGTTATGACATTATTAATAGCGCTAGGCGTGGGTCAAGTCGAGTCAATTTTGATATATTGCAGTTTAAAATTACCAAATCCGAATTTTGAAATCAAACCGAATTGATTTGGGCCGGTTTCATTTCAAAATTTTGATTTTGATTTTGGCCAAAACTAATAAAAAAAAAAAAAAAAGAAAGAAAAAAGAAAAAAATGGAACTTGCTTCCAATAATAATAATAAAAGCGAATGAAAAATACTTGTTGTACATAATCATTCGTATATATTCTTTTACAAATTGATATGAGAATGATAAATTGAATTAAAGTTGTCCAAATCTCTTCACTAATTGAACGGTTGCTTATGTAATGTTGGTTAATGACAAAAAGGAATTGAGAAAATTACTTTAAAAAAAATAAAAAAAAATTTGGCTGATGAGATTTTGACTCAATCAAATTTGATCACATCATCTGTTGATAAATAAATTTGTAAGTTGTGATATATATAGAACAATTCAAAAACGAATATAAATATTCACACAAATCACAAGAATCAATTAGTTTCAATAAAGATGACTGCAGAGCTATATAGGTAAGTTTATAATTAAAATCTATTATTTGACATAAATATGTGATACATATATGTAAATCTGTATATATGAGGGATAGCCTGCCAAGGTTCTTCACTTCTTCTTCTTCCTTTTCGGACTTATCCGTTTGCGGGAAATTGGGGATTAAGGTTTTGCTTTGATTTTAAATTTCTTTATTCAAGCTTAAATTTAAGCTTTGAATTGTCAAATTTAAAAAAAAATTCAAACGGGTGACATATGGGTCAAGTTTTATAGGGTTGGTTGCACAACCCTCTATCCAACCCCACCCGACAGCTTTTTGATTGGATAAAACCCATTCAAATTGCTAATTTGTTGAAAATCGACTCGAGTCGGTTGGTGGTTTAGACGTTTTTCGAATGTTTTGCTCACCCCTACCCATGGGCTTGTCTCCACTAAATAATTACGTGTAAAACATGATCAAATGAAATGGTTAACCATTACGTCTTGAAGTATTTTCTTATGGGGATGGGAAATGTGTTACTTGTGTATTTTTTTATGTATATCCGCTCTATTGATTTTTCGATGATCTTAACTGTCCTTTTAGGTTTTCTTAGGTAGGATATGACTTCGATTATTATTGACAAATAGCAAAATCTTGCCGAGACTCGAGCCTTTCCTTACTAATTTCGAAGGATTTGGCTCGACCATTTATGAGTTGAATTTTTGCAACTTCCTTAATCGTCTCACGATTAAGGCAATTGACTGATTATTTGCCCCTAGCTTGCCAAAATAAGTTCGCACTTATCGTGTTGAAGACTATTAAATATTGGAAAATTTATACGAACATGGATAAAATATGAGGTGAATTGAAGAATATTGATTAAAATTACAACTTCAACTGGCGTTTATAGAAAAATCCGACAACTATACGTTATGTAATTTTTTGACCACTACACCTCTACTCGATAAATCTTCCGAAGAACAAGTCATTTTTTGAATAAGCCAATTCACATTCTAATTTTATGGCTACTCAATTTTGAGAAGAAAAGTAAAAATGTCATCTTCTTTGTTAGACATTTCAAGAATCTAAAACACCAAATAAATAAAATTTTATAATAATTGTAGTTTGAGGAACAAGAGAATTAATATATCAAATGAATGTTCAAAATGGGGAAGATGGCAATTTTTTGTTTGCCAAGAAATGGACAAATAGTTGCAGAGCTTGTCTGGGTTTAAAACTAGGAACTTGGTGCCCGGCTCCTCTTACCGTCACGAACATTAGCCCCTTGTACTCCACCGTCCACCCGCCCACCTATAAAGAAACAATGCTCGTGATTAAAGTGACACATTTTAAAAGCTAGTGATGGACAGAGTTTTAAACCCTATGCAAAGTATTAACAAGAAAGTGAGAGTTAAAGAAAAGTGAGAGTCAAAGATCAGAGTCGGTCCTGAAGATTTTGAGGTTCTAGACGATAAATTGTCAGGAGACTCAAACATGACAAAATCAAACATTCTCTCTTTCTCGTGATGAGGAATGTTATACTTATGATACTCACTTACCGTTTGAGAATCAATTTTGGAATAGTGATTTGATGGATAATTTGTGGTTAAACAATTCCCAAAAATTTTCGATTTGCGTATTATATTATTTTATTGAATAATGTCTGATTGAAAATAAGAGAGAGAAAAATATATTTCGAAAATAATGGAGACCAAACAAGGGCTTAGTAACAGAATGAAAATAATTGTGGTGTATTTGATGGATATTATGGAGGAAAGAATGTATTTTAAATAGTGATATGATGGAATTATGCAGTTCAAAAGTAAGAAAAAATTATTTATGTGAGGGAAAATATTATTTTATTGAAAAATGTGTGGTTGAAAATGAGTTTTGAAATAATATATTTTTAACTAATGTGTGTCAAACATGGGCCAAGTTTAAGATAAAGCTGTCAATTTGAAGCAAAATGAAAATATAACAACCAACATGAAATTTTATTAAAAGTTTAGGTGTTTCTTAAGAAAGTACCTGCTTTTTGTATGTATACCATGGTGTCCAATCTTGATTTATTTTCAGTCCCAATTTTTTTAATGATAATCTTGTTGCGGTCACTGGAATTCTTCCATCTGTATCTCCACTGTCATTGCAAAGTTTCAATTAAGCAATTATTATTTAAAAGTAACTTCTAAGTAATTATTGTTATACTATTATTTTATTTTATTTTTTAATTACCTGTAAACCCATACGCGTAGACCACCAGCAACAAGCTTGGAGATTGTAGGGAGTATGGAGGCGGGCGCATCACTCCAAAACGTAATATTGTCGCTGCATACCACATGAAAAATAATTACTTTACTTTTTTCTGAAAAAACAAATAAATTAATGGATTAATTGCACAATTTTCTACAATATGATTTATACTATTTCACAAAATAAAAAAAAAATTGCTCAGTTCACATAGGAAAAAAGATTACTAGGTAATGTGTAAATCAATGTTTTAAAAATCAATCCAAGCATCGACTTGAAAAAGGAAGAGGGTCAATGATCAAATAGAGACTCACAAGATGATTTAATAAATAAATAAACAAATTCAACAGAAAAAAAGATGGTTTTTGAACGGGTTTTTGCATAGTTTTAATAAAATTATATAGGTGATAAGATTGGAAACGAAAACAGGTCAAGAGGTTTCTGTAAAATCAAGCGTGTCGACTAATTTTCGGACGGTTTTTTAAAATGATAAATTTTTCTGCCATATCGATCCGACTTTGAGTCTGATTCCCGATTTCACCCATCGAACCAGACAGATCAAGCTAGTTCAAATTACATTGTGTAAATAGTCGAAAGCCATATGTCGGAAAGAATGCTGTGGAAGTGGTGTCAAAATGTGTTCGGTCGCTTGGGAGGTGGTGGGAGTGATATGAAAACACGTCGCACCGCCAGTACTTTAAGAGGCCGACCAATGGAGGCTTGTACATTTTGCAGGCTGGATATATGACTAGTCAACGAGCCGAACAAGCCTAGCATGTTCGGAACAGGGCAGGCATGGCCCAAAAAGGAAAAAATAATTGTTAAAATTGACAAGAACTATATCAACCATCGACTCGACACACTCTACACCTCTAGAGGTTATATAGGTTTGAAAGAATTAAAAAAAAAAAATACTATATATGTAAGGTGAAAATTACCTGCAATGAGTCCACGGGTATGAAATTTTGGTGACATTTGCATGAAGAGCTTCTTGTACATCTGGCCTATTCATATACATCTGAGTATAATCTGTCACACAAGGGTCATACCCTGCTGGTTTCTTGTGCCATTCATCCTGTAAAATCAATTTCAAGAACAATTAAACATTTCCACGGCATATTTGATATGCTCGACTCAACAATTCTGTCCAATACTGAACAACAAGAATAAAAAACTCACAATTTTAGACATCAGTCGAGGAGCGACACCTTGAATCCTCGGAAGTTTTCTATTCGTGCTGCTGAAATTTCCTCTGACACAAGTCGGTGAATATAAGCTATACATATCCACAATTTTGTAAACATCATAGTATTTGTTGAGAGCTGTATCGCATTCATCTGTCAGATGTTCATTTCTAAAGTTACACTTGGTTTTAATTTCTTGGTACAACCTATCTGAAATCACAGCATGATCCCATGCATAATCAATCATTCCAGTTTGATCCATTTCATCATCCACCAATGCATTCCCTATCTGCATTTAGAATCGAAATGAAGTCAAATCTTGTCAAACTGTACATGAAAACGGACAAGATTTTAAATAAAACGCACCATAAATCCCTTGAGATTAATGCGATCGTCCTTGGTGACTTTTTTATTGCTATCGAAGATAACCTCCGCAAGTTGAGGGACATAGTGACCTAAAATGTACATCATCAAATTGTAGCAAAATAAAATAAGCAATTTTAAGCTAGCTGTTTATTAAAGTAAAAGCAAAATAAGTGGAAAGTTACTTAATTTTGACTACCTGCGTAACTTTCTCCAGCAATGTAGAACTCGTGAGATTTATATTGTGGAAATCTTCTGAACCAGTTGACCAAAAAGTTGTATGAATCCTGAGCTGATTGATTACAAAAGCAAAAAAGTAAAAAGTACTATAATGGAGGTTTCTAAGCGTGCATTTGTATTATAGAACCTTGCTACCATTACAGGGCCTGCGATTTGTATCATAGAACCTTGCTACCATTACAAGAACAGGCCGTGTCAGGCTACACACATGGGGGTGAAGACCACATTTTTTTTAATACAATGGGTGGGGCCTGCTGCTACAGTGAGGGCTTCTAAGGCCCCTGTGAAGAATTATTCTGTATCATATATATCAAAATACATGAGATTTTAACCTTTTTTTTTAAAAGAACCCGTTTGACGTTTGACGGAGCTTTTGCTTTTAGTTGAAGAGCTTTTTCAAAAAGTTATTTTAAATCAACTTTCTCTAAAAGTGCTTCTAGTGAAACAAAGTACTCTAAAAAAAATTATACAAACATATTTAAAATTAGCGCCTTAATTTCAAAAGTAACTTTTGACTTTTCAAAAGTCTTGTTAAACGGATTATTAATACTGTTCAACATTGTCTAGTACCGATAGTGTTAAAGATTGAGTTACGTTACCCGTCACTTTGTCACCGAGCTCGTTGATATCATTGCTGCTATTTGTATACGAGAATCCAACACCAATGGGAGATTCTACAAAAAGTAAGTTGGCCGCTACACAAGGAAAAAATAGAATGTAGTTTTAATGAAGCAGTACAAAAGTAGTTATAATACTGGAGATGATTTTGTCGTAAAATTTTTAACTTATTTTTCTTACTCAATACATTACCGAGTTATTCGATCTACCTTAATTCCGACAGGCCAAAAGGTAAATTGAAGGTAGCCAAAAAAAAACATGATGAGAAAGTGAAGTATATAAAATAATTTTGCATTAATCTTACCTTTATTCCAGGAGTTATTGTTTAATTTGAGCTCTGGATTGCCTTTTTGTGTTAAAAAAGGCCCTAATTCTTCAGCTGCACCGTAACCAACAGATGAACAACCAGGACCTGAAATGTTCAAAATAAAAATAGATAAATGTCGAATTTATTTTCAAGACTAACAGCCCTGACCCGTTGTATAACGAGCCGGGCTGGCAAACGGTACAGGCCCATTATGAGTGAATGAGGGGGAGTGAAAATTAAGTAAATTTAAATAGATAAAATTGTTTCTCTATTAATTATTTATCAATATTATATATTTTTATATATTATTTATTAATAAATGAATTTTCATTTCCAGATGTGGTAAAAAAAATAAAAATCATTTGTATAGGGATGTAAGCAATAATTTTAGAATAATTATAATTAATATACCAGTTGTGCTACAAGACTCGTTTAGGTGACATTAAATGATAAGATTAATGAAATGAGTCATATAATATTTTGTACATTTACTTGAGTCAATAAGACACTTATGATTGTGCTGTTGCATCACTGGTATTAGATAGCATTATTCATAATTTTAGTTGTATTTGACAAATTATAAATAGAAATAGTAAGAAAATTAATAATAGGCCATATGAAAGGTATGACTAATAAATAAGTAAATTTAATTAATTTGTATCTAAATTAATATTTGACTGTCTAAATTTTAAATTGATACCAAAGGATGGTTAACATAAAAGGGGCGTAATTTTACTAGACATGTATATGAAACATAGTGGTATCGAACAATACTACATAATAAAATTTTAAATTCTTGTTCCATCTTTAACCAAACGTTCGTTCTTGTTTGTACTTAATACCATGAATAACCTAAGATGCGAATGCATCACAGTCTAGTTGTCGAGTATAATTAATTCTTTAAAAATACTATGTGTACATGACATTTTCCATAATGGACACATGGAGGGCCCCCTAGCGCCCTAGGGGGCCCTCCATGTGTCCATTATCGACACCATAACCCTTAATTCTTTTACATGATGCCAAAAACTTGACGTGTATACTACTGTACAATTTATCTTACTAAACGAGCAAATAAAAAATATGGGTTGTATGTATAATTTTGATGTACGTACCTCCATTAAGCCATAAGACAAGAGGTTTCGTTTGAGGATTTTTGGTGGCTTCAAAAAACCAATAAAACAGTGCTCTTCCATGAGTTTGATTCACAGTGACATAACCAGCATATTGCTTGAAACTCACCGCCGGCTGCCCCGGTAGTTTTATTACTCTGTCTGCTTCTTGTGGTGATTTAGAAGGTGAACCCTTCTCTACGGCGGCGGTCGGCAACACTCCGCCGGCGGCCACCAATGCAAACATTACCCAAACAACAATATTCAACATTTTCTGTCTCTTAATTAAACTTTGTGTAGAGAGAGAAAGAGAGAGCGTGTGCATGTGTGGTTTATATAGTGATAAAAGACAGATAATAAGAAGAATGGCCTGCAGTCAGTCCAATTATTCTCTTACCAAATATTCATTCCTTTTGAAGTTTGAAAGTTGAAACTCGTGAAAATTGCACAATTGGTCCCTTATCGATAACCCTTGTAATAATTTCGTCCTCCATTTTCACTATCTTTATAGTGTCGTTCATGATCATTTTTTAGTTTTTTAAAAAAAATTATAACAAAAAAAATAAATAAATAAAAAGGAAATTCAAATCACTAGCTCCTCCACACATCCTCACCCACCCCCCTGAACGCTAAATCCTATTACTTGTTGGCGAATTCCGCTTCCTACCTCGATTGTCAATGGCAACTCACACTGTTATGTCAATCCACTAATGACAATAAGGAATAGTGCAATTTTGGGGTTTCTGAGAATTGGCATGGATTAGGTATGGAAAGTGAGGTGAGTACAGCAGTAAAAAAATCGACTAGCACGAGTTGACTCGCGAGCTTGTTGGGCTCGCACACGAGCCCAACAAGCTGAGTGGCTCTGCTCACCCCATTTAACACCCTTAGCATGGATGATTTACATTTTTTTTCCTTCTTTCTTGTTTCATCATACTTTATTTCCTTATATTTATTTTAATTAACATAAGTATATAACCGTTTAAAAGCAGACTTTTTAATACAAAGTGAACGAGATATTAATTACATATTTGTAACACTACAAATTGAAACGTTAGAGCAGACACTAGCAGATAAAATAGGTTACGAACCCAAACGCTACGCATCTCATAAATCGAAGATCAATATTGCAATTTTCCTTTGAAAATATCTGTTTTGGAGGTATTATTCACTTGAGAAGATGATATGATGAAATGGTGGACCATTTGCTTAGAATGATAGCAAAGGACCGTTTTGGACCTGTCAAAAGCTTTAACTTTACTGTTAATTAAGAAGCCTTCCCAATTGAGAAAGCCAAAAATATTTTCTTTTTACTCAATTGCTTGTAGAATAAAAAGTGTGACAACTTCCATCATCACCCTAAAATCCCATATTTATTGTTTACTTTTAGTTACACACACATGATTTATCCATCAAATTTATAAGTAACCTAAATTAATGCCTTAATATAAGAAATAATTAAAATCCCTTTTTATTTCTTGTTTTAATTGAGATTTTTGCAAGATAAACTTAAAATCGAAATTCTTGTTTCGAGATTGATTTTATCGACCAAAAAATGTAACATTGCGGGTTGTGCTTTTATTAGAAAAAAATGGCATGTCGTTGGGAAGAGGGTTGAATTGTTATAAACAATATTAAGAAAGAAAAATAAGATAAAATTTATTTTTTATATGCCTAGTTATATTTAATGTGTATCAAATAATATATTTTAATTTCCAATTTGAGGCTTTTATCTTGTTTATAATAATTTTAGAGTTTAAAAAATTCAAAGAAAAGGTTTAATTATTTGAGTCAATCACACTTACTGAGTATTTCGAGTAAAAAAAATATATAAATACTATTCTAATTTCTAATGTTGTCAAATGTATTTTTGTAAAATTTAATCCCGACAACTCGAGATTAAAAGTTTTAACTTAGACATAAGGGTGAGAAGGACGAACGGCTTATTGGCTCGGCTCGTGTTTGAGATGAGCTGCGGGCTCAAGCCAACTTGTTCACAAGTTCATTGATGGCTCTTGAGTAGCTCATTTTTATTTTTTTTTTGCACAAATTAAAAAAAAATTAGCAAATCGTTCGGACTAGCTCGTGTGAACCTGCACGCGTTTTGGGTCTAACCAAGCCCAACGGTAAAAGAGCCGATTGACTCGATTCGACTTATTTAGCCCCTGTTTGATCCACATTATTTTTTTCATTCTCATTCTTTTACTCATTTTCAACCACACATTCTTCAATAAAATAATATTTTCTATCACATCAATAACCTTTCCTTATTTTTTAATCACATATTCCCTATCACATCACTTCAAAAAAATGCATTCTCTCATTTTAATGTGCACTAAACGGGCTCTTAATGCCCAATTAGACACGATTATTATCTGATAAAAGTTTCATTTTGAATATTATATAATAACTAGGTGCAAGCAACGTGCAATGCATGTTTGCTTAGATTATATTTAATATTTTAGTTTAATAAATAATTTGTTATT